TTTACCCAGTATTCCAAAATTTATAAAAATAGTAACAGCAGGCCAGAGACCTCAGCCAGCTCTTTTAGAAGTCTTGAAAATTATCCAGACCTGCTGATTTTAAAATGTAGATATTTAACATCCTCCTTGATTACTAATGGACTGGAAAGTACTTCATCATCCTCATATATTATAAGTGTATCATTTTGTTTCTTTGCAAATACTGAACAGGAATATTTATCAAACACTTTGGCCTTTTCTATATCATTATTAACAATATTACCATTCTATCTAGTAATGGGCCTATATCATCTCTAACATTTCTTTGTTTGCAGTATACTTAAAGTCCTTATTATTATCCTTAGTCCCATCAAGTTTTGGATTTTTTCTTGATGTCTTTAGCTTCCCTTATCAATTTTTTGCACTTCATAATTTCTAATTTATATCACTTTCTATTTCTCCCCCTTTTTAAATTTTGCTTTTTTATTTGTAAATTGCTGCCATCACTTCATTACTGAATTGAGAAGAGATTTTAGCCAAAGTTGTCCTCTTTCTAAATTGTGAAATCATGTCTCTTGGTCATCTAATAAACTCTTCTTTAAGAAACTCCCATTTTTGCATTTTTTCATCTAAATTCTTCCTGCTAATCTGTTTCTGTCCAGCCCTAAATACAGTGAGGCCCCAATCTCAGTTGTTGGAGACAGATTAAGGTTAAGAAAAGAGAAAGCAGAGAGGGGACTGTCACAGTTTAGGGCTAGCCGCACCTCTGTCTCTCTCCTGATCTCTCTGAGTGCATCTCCTCAGGTGTCAAGCCTTGTGCCTTTACCACTCCTAGGGTAGAATTCTGCAATTCTCCCACTCTCAGTTCCTGGCTGGAGCACAACCATGCCTCCCCAGCAGGCCTGACTGGGTTCGGGCTCTTGCAAGTCTTTGCTTCAGAAGCTTGTGGCCAGTGGGGAAGAGAGGGACCCAAACAACATTTTTAAAACAAAGCATTGTTTAATCTCAAGAATGGGAACAAACTATCATAAGAGAAATAGGTTTTTAACATAATAAAAAGTCTGCATGCATCTCTATCTTACCTAGAGGCTTAGGGAGGCCTAGCTTATCCCAAATACCTCCACCTTTTGGGGTCTGGGGGACTGTCTGCTCCCCTGCAGTCCTTTCTTCACCTCTCCCCTGCTTTCTGTTTTTATCCTCCCCAAAGCTCTTTCTTCCAGCTTCCCACCCCTGCCTCCCTGAGCTAAACCAGACTGTGGAACTCAGCAGGGTCAGAGGTAAAACTTGAAAGCAATCGACAGGTTCTGCAGCTACTGCCACCTACCTTTGCTTGAATTAACCCCTTGTAATCCTGTAGCAAACACCCCAGTAAAAATCATACAAGCAGATGGGCGTAATTTATATTCATAAAATATTATAGGCAGCTCCCATGTCCTTCAGAGGGACAACCAGCTGGGACAGCATAGAATCACAGAATCATAGGACTGGAAGGGACCTTGAGAGGTCATCTAGTCCAGGCCCCTGCACTCGTGGCAGGACTAAGTAATAACAGACCATCCCTGACAGGTGTTTGTCCAACCTGCTGTTAAAAATTTCCAGTAATGGAGATTCCACAGCCTCTCTGGGCAATTTATTCCAGTGCCTTCACCACCCTGACAGTTAGGAAGAAGTTTTTCCGAATGTCCAACCTAAACCGCCCTTGCTGCAATTTAAGCCCATTGCTTCTTCTCCTATCCTCAGATGTTAATGCGAACAATTCTTCTCCCTCCTCCTTGTAACCACCTTTTATGTGCTTGAAAAGTGTTGTGCCATCTCTTCTTCTGCTGCCAAATGCTGCTGCTTGCCCCTCAAACAGAAAACGCCCCAAAAACTCCCAGCACCTGCTCCTTCCTCTGCCTGGTGAGGCCTGTCCTCACGAGGCAAGGAGAAGGGGGATCTTTCCCTCAGCTTGAAGTGAAGGATGGGGAGCAATTCACTCCCCTACATCAATTCCTGGGAACAAGGGCTTTGAGATCCATAGCAAAGTAACACCCTCCTTTGAGCAGTGTGGTAAGACCTCACCAGAGTTCTAAGTACACCATATAGCAAGAGACTCTTCGCTAGTGTTCTGGGCACGGGATGGCGTGGAACAAAGCAGGAGCTGTAGCCAAAATCTCACAGCCACGTCAGCCTGCAGAGCACCGTGGTGGGAAGGGGCATGCCAGGAAGTCACTTACCGAGAATGTAGATGATCACACCGTCCGTGATCCATTACCGAGTCTCCCTAAGAGAGCTAGAAAGGCATTGACAGTGGCCAGTTGTGCAAGGCTGTGCACGAGGTGGTTAGCAGGAAAGAATCCCATCTTGCCCTCTAGGGTGACCAGTTTATACCTTAAATCATGAGATCTAATTGCCCTTATATCCTGGGATGATCAACTACGGACATTATTGGGTTTATCACCACCTAGTTCATTATAATATCTGGTTTTAGTGTTTGACTCCTCACTGACCATCCAGTCACAAGAGCCCTCTCTTCCCAGAGTGAGGATTCAAACCTGGGTCTTCTACATCCCAGGGGAGTGCCTTAGCCATTGGGCTACATGGCATAAGGGGGCACCATCACCACTTTCTTCTCTGCTTCGTCCCCCCTCCTGTGTTGTCAATCTAGTTCTTTTTAAAATGCCCAGACACAGAGAGGTTTGGGTCAAACAACATGTTGCGTTCACCCTGAAATGGCCTTTGATTGACCAGACTTTTCAGATTTGGTTCAACTCAAACTGAAGAAATTTTTTTTAATTTTTGGGAACTGCCAGCAAACAGGGAAAAGCAGTTCTTTGCCCAGCTGTAGGCATTTATTCACATCTGGGCAAAGACTCAGTACAAAACGTTTCACTCCTCAGCTGAAGCTTGCTGATCCATGAAGGACGAGTGACTTGACCGTGCCCTTCCACACCACATTTAAAGAGTACAATCCCCTAAAGCCACCAACATTAGCTCACCAGGGTGTGTGCACAATGCATCTAGGAAACAACCTCCTCCCGACTCCTAGATTTCAGAGCTGGAGTCACAACATCGACACAGATATTTTTAAGTGCACTGGCAGAAGCCCCTTATGGACCCGGGCTGGCAGACTTGCTCCCAAATGCAGTGTAGACATCCCCTATGGGGCCGGATTCTGACTCTTACACCAGAATCAGATCAGAACCTGGCTTTGAAGTCTCTACACCAGAGCAGGGAATGCTACTCTCAACACACTCATGTGCTGCTCCACCAATATATGCTTGACCTTCAGCAAAGGGGTGGTCACCAGAACAGGAAAACAATCAAAAATACCTTCAAGGAAAATTAAAAGTTAATGCAAACATTTATTTCTAAAAAAGGAAAGAAGTTTAAACAATGGCAGCATTGACAGTGCTCACGGCATTACAAAATTCAGGCAAGTTTCTGTTGTACAACAATATGTACCAATATCAGACTGAGAACATCTTACCTTAGCACCCTCTGGCTTCAACTACACCACCATGTTACATCTACAGCACCATAACACACATGAAACAAGCCATGGGGGGAGGAGGGGATGATGCTGCACTGAATGTTTTACACAAAAGCTACCCTTCCTGGTGTGTATTTCTACTGAGCTGAAGAGTAAAGTAGAATGAGGAACTTGCAGAACACATCAGGTGAGAGTAAGAATCAAAGTGAGGGATGAAGTTACTTTACAAGACACTGGTGAGACCTTGTTTAGAAGACCATGATTCCCTTTTGGATATTGTTGTTCCAGGGTGAGACACGATGTGGAGCAGCCAGCATGAGCCTTGGTATGAAGACTCTTTACGAGCGTCAAAACACAAAAGTCTTGCATGTAAATTCTTAACAAGAAACTAGTAGGCGGTTTGCAAAACTGTAGTCCTGTATTGAAGAGAACCGTAGCCAATGATAAGAATGTGGGGTCAGAACCATCCCCCTTGTAGAGTCCGATGATGCAAGGTGCTGAGCACTCTTCATTTCCATGATCTTCAGTGCCCAGTAGCCCCTTGTGGGGTCTCTCTCTCTCTCTCACACACACACACACACAGGGCAGCTTGCACGCACATGCATACACAGGGCAGTTTTCACTCCTTTGTTAAGTGTAAAGGTTGCTTTGCATATGAGCAACCGAAACACTGGGAAGGCTGGAGGGATTGATTCATGAGGAAAGGATCACAGAATTAAAACTGTACCTCCTGGCCAAATGACAATGGGGTGGGAGGTGGAAACAGAGAAGAGGACAGCAGCCCATATGTATTAGAAGGGGGCTTAACACTAAGGAGGGAAGTGGGTTGTTTAAGATACAAAGAGGCAGAAATAGGAGTCATGTGATCAGATGGGAGAAATTCTACGGTCTGTTATGCAGGAGGCTATATGATCATAACGGTCCCTTCTAGTCTTAAAATCTACACAACGGACTAAGGCTATGTCTACATTAGCACTTTTATCAGTAAAACTTTTGTCGGTCAGGGGTGTGAAAAAACCACACCCCCGACTGACAAAAGTTTCACTGACTGACGCACCAGTGTGGATGGCACCTCGTAGGTGGGAGATGCTCTCCTGCCGACTTAGCTACTGCCACTCGTTAGGGGTGGTTTAATTATGCCGATGGAAGAGCTCTTTCCTGCCGGCATAAAGTGGCTACACGCGAGACCTTACAGCAGCACAGCTGTACCTCAGTAAGGTAGTGTAGACATAGCCGCAGACCCAGTCCATACATGAATTTTGTCCTGATTTAACTATTTCAGTTAGGGGTGCGACTTCCTACGGGAATAGTTCTACCAGTACAACTCCTGGGGGGATGCAGTTATGTCAGTATAAAAGGTGCCTTATACCAGTATAACTTACTCCTCTTTCCTTCAGCAATAAGCTATCCTGGTATCAGCATGCCGGTATAATTGCATCCACGCGAAAGGGGATGCGTCACATTGGCTATACTGAAATAGTTAGAAAGGTACAATGCGTGTGTAGACAAGCAATGCAGAAAATTCTATTGTGAAAATAGACCAGTCGTGGAGACTGTGGATGAGACTCCAATGATAGGGCCTCTATTCTTTCCCTCAAGAGTCACTGATTGTACAGAAGCAAGAGAGAACATGCTTCCCTTGCACTCAGGTCAGGCAAGAACCGAAACAATTTACACCGAATCAGTCTTTCCCATTTCTAATAAGACTGATTTGAAGACTTTTCAGCTGGCTTAGCTTCCCTCACCAGAGAGGCGTGGCTGCCGTGGTTTACAGCTAATCTTTGTAAGGGGACTGTGCCCCCCTTACTAACATTCAGCGGGGGTGTTTTAGTTGCTAGCTCCCAGTACTAAAAAGGGGGAAGGGTCGATGGGGAATCAGGACCCTGAGACTGATAGTCCACAGGAACAATGGGGAGAGGCCAATGCTCCAGGTCAGCCTGAATGACAGGGCGGGCAGGCTAATCAGGGAGTCAGGAGGCCAGGGAAGTCACATCCTCTGTGTGAGCTGGATTTGCCTGGGTCAGACAGAGTGGGGGCCAAGCTGAGGAGAAAGCAGGGGCCCAAGCTGAGCTGGGGAGCAGAGCTGTGCCAGATCCAGAGAGAGCAGACCCCATCCTGGGAGCAGAGCTGCAGCAACCAGAGCCAGAGGGGCCAGGAAAGCAGCCCAGGAAGCAGGTCAGTGCTGGGAGCAGAGTCACAGAAGCAGCCTGCAGAGCAGACCTGTCCTGGGAGCAGAGCTGCAGCAACCAGAGCCAGAGGGGCCAGAGCAGCAGCCCAGGGAGCTGGAGGCAGAGCAGCAGCAGTGCAGAGACCGAGTGGTGGAGCTGGGGCTGGAGCAGTCTGGAGCTGGGTGCGGTGAGCAGCTGGGGAGACCGAGGGGGACCCTGGGCAGCGGCCCCAGCACAGGGAGACACCTCAGCCAAGAGGCTCTGCAGGCCAGGCGTGGATCATAACCCCGACAGGGCGGGGGCAACACTGGGAAGAAGGGTCCTACCACTTAGAGCCTGAGACCACCACCAGAGCGAGTGTCCAACCCACAGCATCCCTGCAGCACAGCCAGGGCCTGAGCAGGAGGCCTGGGACTTACAAGGAACAGACTGTGAACAGCCCTGATGCTCCAGAGACACTGTTCGTGATGTTCCCTGCCACAGAGCGGGGTGATGTGTTTCCTTTAACCTTTCCCATTTTTCCTTATTCTTTTTAAAAGTAATTGTTGATTAAATAACTTGAATTTGCTTTAACTTGTATGTAATAGTCAGTGGGTCAGAGAAGTGCCCAGTGCAGAGAGAGTACCCCGGAGTGGGGACACCCTAGCCCCTGTCCTAGGTGACCGCAGCAGGGTTGGGGGTCAAGCCCCCCAGGAATCCTGGGCCCAGCCTTGTTGGGGTTACGAGGACTCTGCCAGACAGGAGAGTGGAAGGGGAGTCCTCGAAGGCAGGGAGGCCACTGGGTAAAGGAAGTGGGAGCGAGGACTCAGATCCTTTCGCTAGCCCACTTCACCGGGGTAGTGCAGAAGCCAGGGAAGTTCCCTCAATAGCAGGACTATTCCCCCGCTTACACCTTGATTATTAAAAAAACCTTAGTGAAGAAAGGCTACCGAGGCCTCGTTTTTCTCAGGAGGAAAGGTTACGAGGTCAGCTAATGGGCACAATGAAAAGAGTGGAGAAATTTGACAAAGCAAATCCAGGTAAACAATTCTGCAATGAGGGTCCTAGAAGAAGCTAGAAGTATCTAGAAGTATCTGAACACCTCCTCAGAGCCACCACACACCGATGACTGGGGGAAACAGTCAGGGTGAGGGAGGGGAAGAAATGTAGGACTTTAACAGAACATGTGACCTCTGTGAGCAGCGGACGATCAGAGCTAGCTCATTCAGGCTAGGCAAGGTCAGCACTGTACCCCCATCCGAGGCTGACTTTACCCTAGCTACCTGGTGGTAAAAACTACCGAGCCTTGTCTCCACTAGGATAGCGTGCATGGGTCAACCTGCTGTAAAAATACCTCTCTTTTTGGCAGTGACAAAACAGGCTCAAGGAACAAAGACTAGCACAGAAGCAAGCAGTGCCTCTAAATTTAATCAGTCACTCAGCTGGGTAGGGGAGAGAAAATTAAGGCTACAGTAAAATGGAAGGACATGGAATTCAAGTACACTCATCAGGGACAGGGTTTTAGACCTTCTGGCACTGTCCAGCCTTCGTTTTAATCAAAACGCCAACACACCCACCCTGGCACTAACTTTGTGGGCAAAGAAACTGCTTTTTCGCAGTCATCTGGAAGCAAGTCATCCACCACCTCCCCTCCCTTCAAAGGTCTTGGGATCATTGAGCTTTGTCTTCCTGCTATGACCTGTGTGAAGCGGATTAGCAATCTCAGGCCTGGTTCATAGGCGTTTACATCACACACCTCGTTGGGGATGCCAGCAGGCAGCGCTGAACAAGCATGTAGAACAAACTACACTCTTACTCCCACGAGATGCCCTCCAAGGCACAGTTCCTGGTTCAGCCACAATGTAAAAGGAAGGCTGGCCTGATGGTTAAGATGCCAGGTTAGGATACAGGAGAAGAGGGTTCAATTCCCACATCTCTGCCACAGTTTCCCTGTGTGATCCTGGGCAAGTCACTTACTCTGTGCCTCAGTTTCTCATCAGTAAAATGGGGAGAATGTTTGGAAGCTCTCTGGGACAGGAACTGTCTCTTCCTACATTATGCAGCATTTAGCACAATAGGGCCCTGATCTTAAGACTCTAGGTGCTACTGTAATACAAAACCACCACAACATTGGAGAGGAAGCTTGCCCTGCCACTGCCCATGCTGTACCTGTTCTGTACAGAACCAGGGGACTTAACCTCTACCTTGCCAGCCCAGCAACACATTCCTCCACTTTAAAAGCTGTCTTCAGGCTTCATAGTCACTGGAGACCACAGAAGTAATTGTGCAGGCGAGGGCACTACAAGAATGGGAAGGAAAGGGCAAATAGTACCAAAAATTAACAAGCCCATTTCCACCTACCTGCTATTGGACCACTCAGTTCCAAGCTGATGAAATGAAGATGCAGAATCTCTCCTTGGTAGGATGACGACTAATGGGAATAATGAGATTGTGCCTTTTTCCTTGATGTTCAGCACCAATGGAAAGTTTGAGGGTGTGGGGGGAGCAGAGCAGAGCAAAGGAGTCCTTTCCAGAGCTAGAAAAAGCCTATGGGCCCATTTTATTGTATCACAGTAAATCTTGTAAGGGCACTGACATGACTTAGTATTTACCTAGCACTCGAGCAAGTCAGATATTTCTCACACAGCGCCTAAGGAATAAACATCAACTTTGTCAAATTAAAACAAATAAAGGTCTGCAGAAGGATTTTAATCATCATTGTGAGGGGGCAGGAATGGTTAAGGACTCTTCAAATATTTTATCTCATCCCAAGTTACATTGTTTTTGAAGACACTGAGCTTTTGGGGATTTGAAGGGTAGGGACAGAAGAGATGGTTCAGGAACAATAAGTACCCCCTGAGCCTTCAATACATAGATGGTCTCTGAGGTTCTGAAATGTTAAAAAAAAAAAGAAGGTTTTCAAGCTTCTAGCTCTGGAGTGAGAAGCTAGAGAAACTCACTAAAGATCCTATGCCCACAAGATTTCCAGCCCAATATTACAAACAGCTGAAAACTGTGATCCAGTTGCCTGTCACTATTAAAGGGAACCTACCTCTGAACAATTATGTGGTCCATTTATGGCCTCCTTACATAGGGGCCTTCAAACTCAATCAGGGGGATGCTGGAAGTGGGTTTAGGTCATGTGACACCAAGTACCTTGGAGTTTCTAAATGGCTGCTCTCTTGGCTGGCTCAAGGAATGGAACCAAAGCCCTCCATAGCTAAAAGCACAAATCTCTACAGCTTGAGCTAAGAGCCAGGCTTGCTAGCCAGGACTGTAATGCACTCATACCCTCTGTAGATTGGGAAGAGAGGGAGACATAACACACCTTGACCAAGGGGTAAGGATACAATTCCATCATGGAGGTCATGGATTCCGGGGCAACTGGAACAGTGGGCTGGTGGTCAGCCCCAGGGGCTGCCGGAACAGCTAAGCAGCGGTCCCTGGCCCGCCAGAGCAGCAGCCGGAGTTGGATCAGCCCTTGTGGGTCAGCCCCTGCCACAGACGCAGTGAGGCTGAGTAGCTGCAAGCCCCAGCAGCACTCTGTTTGTCCCCCCTCTCGTCCAAGTGTTTTTAGGAAAAATCAGGGATAGGTCACAGGCTTCCGTGAATTTTTGTTTATTGTCCATGACCTGTCCCTGACTTTTACTAAAAATACCCATGACAGAATCTTAACCTTCCCACTGGGATGCATGTACAGACATCTCTGCAGGATCAAGGCCTCAGGTTGTAATGAACTGGGGAACTGGAATCTATAGTGAAACCTTTCTTGTCTTAAGCAGATACCTGGTAGGGCTGAGCTGATTAAAGGTCATTACATAGAATCAGATACCTTTCAGACACTTGAGAAGTTTTGACATTTTGAAATGTTTTCCCCCATCCCAAATTGGGATTAAAAAAAAGGCAAAAAATCTGAAAAATTTCCACAAATTGAAAAATAATAATAATAAAATAAAATCAGTTCAAATCATTTTAACTGTTTCTATAATTTCAAAGGGTTTTGTGCAGAATGCGACCTTTTTTCCGTGTATGTGGGTGTGGGTGTAAATTGACTGAAATTTACAAGCAAAAATTCACTTAGTCTTGAACAACTGGAACTTTCCTTTTTTTAAAGCAAAAGTTTTCAGAGTCTGTCGAATCAGATGCCATTTTGCCAACGGTTTTGGTTCTGACCAAAAAAAAGAAAAGAAAATGTTTTGTCAGAAAATTGCTGACGAGCTTTACTTGAGACCTACTGGAGGGCACGGTCTTAGCGCAGTATTCCCTGCCCCGTATGTTACGTACTGCCCACATCCCTGCTCCCCCAGCACAAAGCAGCATTCATCTCCACCAAAACAATGAAAGCAATTACTTAATATTTGCAGTCGTGACTCCCCTGACCCCCACCTTCCTTCCTGCCTGCATTGGTCACCTGACGTTGCTCTTCCACACAGACTGGCACATAACAATAATGAACAGGACAGAGGGTCATTTTTTGGCACTGAGGGTAACTGCCTTCTCCAGGGGGATTCTTCCTGGGGAGGGGAAGGAAGCGACAGGGTCATCTGCTCACACGTTGGAGAACGGTAACGCAGCCGTGGTAACTGGTGCAGCGTTGCAGCGGGGGTTGCTGAGCCACGTTCCCCGTCGCTGGGTCAAAGGTGAAAGCTTTGTCCGTGCCTTCCCCATTCTCATCCCGGCCACCCAGGATGTAGATCTTCCCACCACACACCGTCACCCCACAGCTCTCCTGCGGGCAGAGGGGAGGAAAGGATGGAGAGGTGAGGGTACCTCTTCCAGCTTTGTACAACAGGGTTCAAAGGGGAGGTTTAACAAGGAACGAAGTGCGGATCATGCTCTAGTCTCAACTGACTCCGCTTGGACCTGTGTATCTGCGAGATCATGCATCTAGCAGGGAGGGAAAGAACGGTAAGCAGAAGACAAGAGGTCTGGGGCCTGGATGTTGTGAGCCCCTGGGTGTCAGAAGGGCTGTTTCTGGGCGATGCTTGTGGATTTTTATAGACATCTAGAGACAAACAAGGGAGATCCTGCCTGAACCGAGTGATGTGATCTTTTCTGTTCTATACTGTGCTTCTCAGAACTAGCAGATGCTCACAAGAAGCACAACAAGGCAGTTCGTCACCTCCGCGTGAAATTCACTGCACTTCAGGCTTAATCATGCAAGCTGCTGAGTAGAGCTGATTGAAAAAAGTCAACAGGGTTTTGGTTTGTTTAAATAGAAATACATATTTTTTAAATTCCTTACCGCATTTTCAACAATAAGAAATCTGACTTTTTTTTTTTAATTAAATGAAAAATTTTCAGGTTTTTCTTTTTTCCTAAATGAAAAAAAAGATCTGAATTTTTGTCTTTTCAAAAACCAATTTTTTTTACTGCAACAGTTATACCAAAAACAAAATTCAGTTTCCCTTTCTGCCATTTGAAAATCAGAAAATGTTTACCATTTTCATTTTAGATGAAAAAGCCATTTTTCATTAAAAAAAATATACATTGCCAGAAAATTTCAGCCAGCTCTGGGGTGGAGCAGTGACTATTTACATGCTGGGATTTAAGCATGTACTTAAGTGCTTTTACTGGATAAGGGTCAGAGCTCTTAGCACCTTGCCTTTAAACTTCTGCAAAGATTCTAATGTGCACAGAGGATATTCTAGAGCAGGGATTGGCAACCTTTGGCATGCCGCCCATCAGGGAAAGCCACTCAGGCCGGGCCACTCTCTTCCCGCAGCCCCCGTTGGCCTGGAACGGCGAACCGCGGCCAGTGGGAGCTGCGATCGGCCGAATCTGCAGAAGCTGCAAAGTAAACAAACTGTCCCAGCCCGCCAGCGGATTTCCCTGATGGGCCGCGTGCCAAAGGTTACCGATCCCTGCTCTAGAGATTTCTCCTTACCAGAGGTCCTGGGAGAGTGGCCACTTCTCTCCAGGTGTCTTTCCTGGGATCGTAGCTGAAGATTTTACTCAGGAGTCCACCCACAACGTAAATCATGTTGTCCAAGGAGACAGCATTAATGCACCTCTGATAGAAGGGAGTGGGAGACAGGAATGTCCATTTGTTCTCCTCAGGATTATAGCACTGGACCTGGGAGGAGAAACAGGAAATCAGCTATTGAAACACAGATTCTCGTGGTGTCCCTGCTCAGGCAAAATCCCAGTAACTAAAACCTAACACCATAGGCACCAATTTTTACTTTTCCCAGGGGTGCTCCACCTCTGCTCTGCCCTGACACCCCACTCCCTCCCCCCAAGACCCCTCCTTTGCTCCTCCTTTCCCGCCTCCACTCTGCCCCTTCCCCCAAGGCCTTGCCCTTGCTCTTGCTCTTCCTGCCTCCTCCCAAATTCCCCCGCTCACTGGTCTCCGCCCTCCCCCAAACCTCTCCCTGAGCCACCAAACAGCTGTTTGGTGTCACCGCCTATCAGCTGATCAGCGGTGCTGCCAAACAGCTGTGGCTGGTGGGTGCTGAGAAGCCACAATTTTTTTTTCTCTGGATGCTTCAGCCCCGAAGCACTCACCGAATCAGCACCTATGCCTTTGAACCCAACGCACATCGATGGCACAGTCCCTTTGAGCCAACACATTGCTGTGGATCTATCATAAAATGAATGAATGGGAGAAGGAGCATGGTCCTGTGAACAGACAACAGGACTTGGGAGTCAGGACACCTGGTTTCTGTTCTTGGCTCTTACACTGATTCACTGTGTGACTTCAGGCAAGTCACTTAGGCCCAGATTTGTAAAGGTACTGAGGTGCCTAACTCCCAATGAAACCAATGGGACTTATGTGCCTACATACCTTTAAAAATGTGGCCCTTAGACTTCAGCTTTTTCAGAAGTATCCACTAATTTTTGGGGGCCCAACCAGATGCCTTAAGGGGCCCGATTTTCAGAAGTACAGAGCATCTGCACCTCCAAAAGAATTCAAGGGGAGCTGTGAGCCCTCAGCACTTCTGGAAAACAAATCAGGCCTGTAAGTGTCAAGTTGGCCCCCTGAAAAATAAAATACCCAAAGCCAGTGGACGTTTGAAAACGTAGGCCTCTGCCTCGCAATTCCCCAGTCTGTAAAATGGGGATAATGCCTGCCTCCTGCAGGGGCGTGTGCGCCTCTGGCTAGTTCCACGTCTGTGAAGTGAACTGAAGATAAAAAGTGCTGAGTATTTCTTATTAATATAATGATGACTATTAACTAGCGAGTCCTGTAGCAGCATATCTGGTGCATGGAGGCCTTCCCCAGTCGGATAATCCCCAAGCTGTGTGATCATCTGAAACATGCCCATAGGCTGCTGTCTGCCACTGAGGGTAGGTCTATACTGCAGTTAGACACCCACAGCTGGCCCGTGCCAGCTGCCTCGGGGTTGCAGGGCTTGGGCTGTTTAACTGCAGTGTACAGGGGCTTGGGCTACAGCCCGAGCTCTGGGACCCTCCAACCTCACAGAGTCCTACAGCCTGGGCTGCAGCCTGAGCCAAAACATCTACACTGCAATTAAACAGTCCCTGAGCCCGAGCCTGGCCTGCCCCTTCCCCAAGAGGACTAACACCACAGGCAACTGCATCCTTCAGGGCACAGTTTATTCTTCAGACACAATCCATCAGTTCAACCTCAGATCCCCATATAAAACTAGCCTTCCCCCTGACCCAGGGTCTTCTACAGAGGCCCAGAGATCTCTCCCCTTGCACATCTCCCCCCAGCTCCAGGGCCTGCCACAGAAGCCCATTTCCCTTCTGAAGCTCTCCTTTCCAGCTTAGCCACTTGCAGGCTTCGATAATGACTGGATGAGTCTCAGCTGGGAAACAGCTCATCAGCCACAGGTGAGGCTGGTTCCAACTCCCCTTAAAGCGCCAGCTTGTGAGATAGCCCCCCATAAGGCGTAACCTGTATTGTAAATGTTTCGGGGGGGGGGGTGGAGGGGGCAGGGACTGTCATTTCGGTATTTGTACAGCACCTGGCACAATGGGGTCTTGGTCCATGACTAGGGGTCCTAGAAACTACTGCAATCCAAACAACAATATTAATAATAATGAGGTAGGCATAGTCAATATTATTGCCTTGTTACAGCTAGGGAAACTGATGAACAAAAAGTGAGTGATTTGCCCAAGGTCACACAATAGGCAAGGAATGAAACCCAGGAGACTTGACGTCCAGTCCTCTGCTCTAACCACTAGACAGCTCTCCCCTACTACAACCACAAACGGGTCAGGCAAACTACCCAGGCAACATCACAGCTGGAGAAGAGGGCATTGAGGAAGCACCTGAAAAAAAAGGAATCACACCCTCGGGCTCCTTGTTTACAAGACGTCTCAACCAAAGTAAACTTGCTGAGGGTTCCCTTTATCCTCGCCGTGCCCTGGCACCACGGTACCTTGTCTGTGTTTGCGCTGTCATCCACAGCACCCCCAATCACGTAGAGCTTGTTCAGACAGGGGACCACAGCCGCCGAGCTCACTGCTTCCAGCAAAGGGGTGACGGCCGACCAGCTGTTGGAGAATGTATCGTAGCATTCCACGCTGGCCAGGCGGTAAAAGCCGTCAAACCCCCCCACTGCGTAGATCTGCCATGGAAGGAGCAGAGTCAGTCGGCAGAAATCATACTGGGAGCGAGGAGCACCGGGATATAGAATCTGACACCTGGTACTGGGCATAACAATCCCACAGGGGCATGTGCAAAAGCTGCCTTGGGGCATGGAAAAGAGACAAACGGTTAGAATGCAGAGTGAACTATTAACAGGAAGGTGTGTATAACAGAGCAGCTTGCCCATAGAGGCCTGGGATCACCCAATGCTAGTTACTTCTGAGGCACACTTGGGCAAGGATTAGGGGATTGCCCTATAAAGGGCAGCAAGAAGCTTCCTGGAAAGGGAGTTGCTCAGGGAGATCAAAACAGAGGACAACAGCTGCTGGGTGTAAGCAGGCTCCAGCAGAGAATCCTCAGTCTTTAAGGCAAAGGGACACCCCTGAGTGGGAAGACTGGGAGCAAGGACTGGATGGGGCTTTGAGCACTTTGATTTGGAATTTTTGTTAATTTAATAAATCCAGCTCCCAGGAGGGGCATTGATGAGCTGGAGAAGAATTTATATCTGGAGCTCTGAAGAAGAGGGGAAACTGAGGCAAGGTGCTTCAGCATCATCTCTGGCCACAAGGAGACACACAGGAGGTGACCTGCCCTGTTACTGTGTGACTGAGGGGCACCAAGACAGAGAAGAAACCCACACCTTGAACTCCACAAGGTAAGCAACAGGATGCCCCATTTTAAAACCTCTGGGCTGCATGTTTTGCACACAAAGATCGAGTCCAGCTTTCTAACCACAAAGCTCTGTACCCTTCAATTATATATTTTATTGTCACAAGTATCAGATTTTATAGTAGGCCATTTCAGCAACACTAGGCACCTGATCAAACACTGAGATTTTTGTCATTGGCTTCAATCGAAGCAAAATTACTCCTATATCAAAATAGCCAGGAGTGAATGATTCATACAGCCCAGTTGTATTCTCGCAGAGACAGAAGTGACTACTGCTATCACATAGAATCAGAGAAATGTAGGGCTGGAAGGGATCTTGAGAGGTTGCCTAGTCCAGCCCCTTGCACTGAGGCAGACCCAAGTAAACCTAGACCATCCCTGACAGGTGTTTGTCCAACCTGTTCTTAAACACCTCCAAAGATGTGGATTTCACAGCCTCCCTTAGAAGCCTAATCCAGAGTTTAACTACCCACATAGTTAGAAAAGAGTTTCCTAATATCTAATCTAAATCTCCCTTGCTCCAGATTAAGCCCCTTACTTCTTGTCCTGCCATCAGCGGAAGTGGAGTGATCACCATCCTATTTATAACAGCCCTTAGCATGGTTGAAGATTTATCAGGTTCCCCCCTTGGTCTTCCTTTCTCAAGACTAAACATGCCCTTTTTTTAAAAAAAAAACCTTTCCTCGTAGAACAGGTTTTCCAAACTTTTTATCATTTTTGTTGTTCTCCTCTGAACTCCCCAATTTATCCATATCTTTCCCAAAGTGTGGCACCAAGAATTAGACACTCCAGCTGAGGCCTCACCAGTGCCAAGTAGAGTGGGATAATTACTTCCCATGTCTTACATCCGAAACTCCTGTTAATACACCCCAGAATGAGATTAGCCTTTTTTCCAACTGCACCACATTGTTCACTCATTTATTTTGCGATTCACTATAATGCCCAGATCCTTTTCAGCTCTGTCGCTACCTAACCAGTTATCACCCACTTTGTAGTGGTGCATTTGATTTGTCCTTCTTAAGTGAAGTACTTTACATGCATCTTTATTGAATTTCATCTTGTTGATTTCAGACCAATTCTCCAGTTTGTCAAAATCATTTTAAATTCTAATCCTGTCTTCCAAAGCGCTTGCGACCCCTGCTGGCCTGGTGTCACCTACAAACTCTGTAAGCATACTCTCCCCGACTCCATTATCCAAGTCATTCATGAAAATATTGACTAGTACTGGACCCAAGACTGAGCCCTGCAGGACCCCAGTAGATACCTCCTCTCAGTTTGACAGTGAGCCATTAGTAACTACTCTGAGTACGGTCTTTCAACCAGTTGTGCACCCACCTTATAGTAATTTAATCTCAATCACATTTTGTAGTTGGTTTATGAAACCAGCATATGGCACTGTGTCAAAAGCCTTACAAAAATCAAGCTATCACATCTAGTGGAGGACAGGTCCATCAACAGCTATTAGCCAAGAGGATCAGAGAGACAACCTCATGTTCCAGGCGTCCCTAAACCTCCAACTGTCAGAAGCTGGGAATGGGCAACAAGGGATCGATCACTTGATGATTACCTGTTCTGTTCATTCCCTCTGGGGCACCTGGCATTGGCCACTGATGGGCTATTGATCTGACTCAGTATGGCCATTCGTATATTTTACTGCTTCCCCCCTATCCGCTAGACCACTAACCCTGTCAAAGAAGGAAATTAGGTTGGTTTGGCATGATTTATTCTTGAGAAATCCATGCTGGCCATTTCTTATAACCCTATTATCCTCTAGGTGCTTACAAATTGATTGTTTAATAATTTGTTCCAGTGCCTTTCTAGGTGTCTCTGTTAGGATGACTCGTCTATAATTCCTTTGGTCCCTCTTTGTTCCCCCTTTTAAAGATACCTTCCATGTTTGTCCTTCTCCAATCCGCTGGGACCTCACCCGGCCTCCATGAATTCTCAAAGATAATTGCTAATGGTTACACGATTGCTTTAGCTGGTTCCTGAATCACCCGAGAATGAATTTCATCAGGTCCTGTCAACTTGAATACATTCATTTATCTAAATATTTGTTAAACTGTTCTTTCCTATTTGGCTTGAGTTCCTTCCCCCGGTTGTCAATATTAATTGTGTGGAGTATCTGGTCACCATTAACCTTATTAGTGAAGACTGAAGCTTTAAGTAACTACTTCTTATTTCCTTTTATGTCCCTTTCTAGGTGAAACTCTCAGTGTACTTTCGCCTGTCCGATTCTGTCCCTAAATGTTCATGCTTTTCTTTTGCACTCCTCCTTAGCAATTTGTCCATGTTACTACTGTACTTTGTGTTGACTCTCTGGTAACTGAAGAGCTCCTCTTGGAGCCGTATTGTCATCATCTTATTCTTCCTGTCTTCCCCTCCCCGCCTTTAAAATGGTCTCCTTGAAAGACTGCCAGACACAGGCGCCAGCTTCCTCATTTCCCCGGGGGTCTCAATCCCCGCCCCACCTCTTCCCGCCCCTGCTCCGCCTTTTCCTGCCCCATTCCGCCCCCTCCCCCAAGCTTGTCCCACCCTCATCCCTGGCGCCTCCTGCATGCCACTGAACAGCTGATCCACAGCAGGCGGGAGGTGCTCGGGGGAAGGGGAGGAGCTGATCAGCAGGGCCGCCAGTGGGTGCTGAGCACCTACTTTCTTTTTCCCATGGGTGTTCCGGCCCCAGAGCATTCATGGAGTCGGTGCCTATGCTGCCAGCTCTCCTGTATTCCTTTAGATCTTCTTCCGATGGGACCTGTTCCTATGGGATCTGTCACATGTTCCTATATTATCTGCTGTTACCATGGGAGGAGGAATAAGTGCCGAAGCCCATAGGCATTGACTTCATGGGCGCTCTGGGGCTGGAGCACCCACAGGGAAAAATTAGTGGGTGCTCTGCACCCACCGGCAGCCAAGCTCCCCCACCCCGGCTCACCTCCGCCTCCTCCCCTGAGTGCACCGCGTCCCCACTCCTCTGCCTACCTCCCAGTGCATGCTGCCGCAAAACAGCTGTTTTGGGGGGAGGGAGGGAGAGGAGCGGGAATGCAGCAGGGAAGAGGCAGGGCTGGGGCAGAGATTTGAGGAGGGAGTCGAATAGGGGCAGGGAGGGGGCAGAGACTTCGGGGAAGGGGTTGGAATGGGGGCAGGGCAGGGGTAGGGCTGGGGGCAAAGGGGATCAAGCACCCGCTGGCGCCAGCAGAAGTTGGCACCTATGCTGAAACCTCAGGTAATAGGTTTGGTCGACAGTCTATAACTTTAAACTGCAGACTGAGGGGAATGAAGTACGTACCTTGCCCTGAAGAGTCGCCATTTTGTGCCTCCATCTGCCCTTGTGCAGACAGGCAACTTTGATCCAGACATTCAGCTGGGAGCTCAGCACCCAAACATCGCTGCTGTTGATGTGCCCTCCTGGAAGACAGAGAGGCCCCACACCATCAAGGGGAGAGCCACCACCATCACCTCAGAACTGGGGGCTCTGAGACAGCTTAGTGTAAATGACAAATACCACCACCACGCACTGATGTAGTGCTTGACATAGGGATCTCGCTTGTAGAGGCAGAAGGTGGAGAAGGAGGAGAAAGAAAAGTCTCAAAGAATGTCAGCCATCCTTACAGGATGGGGGACTGTCCTGAGAAGCAGCAACTCCAAAAAAGATTTGGGGGGTTCGGTGGATAATCAGCGGAATGTGACCTCTCGGTGTGACACACACTGTGGTCGTTCTTATCGGGGGCAGACCTTGCCAACCCAATTTGCAGCAGCCTCCTCAGCGGAGCGCAGAGCCCTCTGACCACCATCCAATCTGGTCCAAAAGCAGTCACGAGAGATGGGAGACGTTGTCGGTCTTTGGCCACACCACAGCCACATGGTCCTCTCGTTGGCCTCAGGAGAGGAGGCTGGCTTGCAAGTTGACCCAGGTCCATTCAAAAATCGGTTCAGAAGGACCCATGAGCATGGTAGTAAATCAAAGTCAGGTACCCACAGGGTCAGGTCAGTTATAACAGACTGGTTTCTGTTGCCAGCTGCAGACCATTCTTCATGCCACATCGACATTGCAGGGAAATCTGGGCAGGGCAAATAAGCCCACAACAGGTGCCTCAACCACAAGCATGCTCTTGGGTGGTCAAAGAAGTCTGTGTGTCATGGTAGGCGCAGGTTTGCCCTGATCTTCTCAGGTTGCTACAGCCAGAATGGCAACGATGGATGTGTGGAAGAATAACGTTGCTGGATGTGGGGAGCCAAACACGGCATTAGCAATGACACGGTGGTGAAGAGCTAATGTGATCTTGGGATGCATAAACAGGGGAATCTCAAGTAGGAGCAGAGGGGTTATTTTACCTCTGTATTTGGCACTGGTGAGACCACTGCTGGAATCCTGTGTCCAGGTCCGGTGCCCACAATTCAAGAAGGGTGTTGATAAATGGGAGAGGGTTCATAGAAGAGCCATGAGAATGATTAAAGGATTAGAAAAAATGCCTTATAGTGAGACTCAAGGAGCTCAATCTGTTTATCTTAACAAAGAGTAGATTAAGAGGTAACAGTCTAAGCATCTACATGGGGAACAAATATTTAATAATGGGCTCTACAGTCTAGCAGAGAAAAGTATAACATGGTCCAATGGCTGGAAACTAAAGCTAGACAAATTCAGACTGGAAAAAAGATGTAAGTTATCCAGTGGATATAGCACTGGAACAATTTACCAAGAGTCATGCTGGATTCTCCATCGCTGACAATTTATAAACCAGGATTGGGTGTTTTTCTAAAAGCTCTGCCCTAGGAATTATTTTGGGCAAGTTCTGTGGCCTGTGTTAAAAGGATCATCAGACTAGATGATCACAAAGGTCCTTCTGGCCTTAACATCTGTGAATCTGTGGCCAAGGAGATATATTGGGAATGAATTCTCGGCCGCTTACACTTCCAACTATAAGTACAAGGAACACTGCTAACCACTACAGCGTGACAAGAGCAGAAACACACATACTGCATAACATACTTTGCAACAGGTCCTAGACGCACACGTAAAACAGACCCGGGTGACTCTGCAGCTGGAGAGGAAAGCATCACAGAGCCTGAATTGGCAGTTTCTCTCCGAAATGCTTGGAGGTGTAGCTGCGGGGCTGTTGGGTGGGTTTCTCACCTGATATATACACGTCATTCTTTAGGGTGCAGGCTGCAAACTCCGATTTGGTGTACCCTGGCACACTAGAGAGTGCTGTCCACTGCCTGCTCTTCGGGTGGTACATATCAGTGAAGGGGAGCTTCAAGAGGCCTTTCTTATCACAGCCGCCTACAACTACTATGACCTCTGCTAATTCCATGAACCTAGAATGAGAAACACATGGGTAAATATTAAAGCAACAGTCCCAACTTTCTGTTCTGTCATCCAAGCTTTAGCCACCTACCATGCTGTCTGGTAGAAAGCACTATGTTACCTATTACCATGAGGAGTCTCATTGGGATAGGCAGCGTTATCTAGGGGATATGGCACTGGATTGAGAGTCAGGAGATCTGGGTTCTATTCCCAACTCTGCAACTGACTTTCTGGGCACCTCACTTCACCCCTCTGTCACTCAGTTCCCCCTCCCATCCTTTGTCCGTCTTTGCTATTTAGATTGTAAGCACTTTGGGGAAGGAGTTGTCTTTATTATGGGTTTGTGCAGTTCAAAGGCATTGTCCAGCTTCTGTTAAATAGAGTCAAAGTTAAAAGTGACCTCCGAAACTCTCCACAGGATCGGCCCAGCTACCGGAAGTCCCCACTCTGTGATCATTCTCTCTCCTGACAGTTATGTTCCTCATGACCAAGAAAGCTGCCAGCCTCAAGAGCAAGACCAGTGACCATGGGAAACAGAGCTTTCTTGGCAGCTGGCCCATGGCAAACTCACTGCCAGACGAGAGGGGGGAAGGTGGTTGGGGTGCTAGCTTAGGACTTGAGAGTTCAGTTCCCTGCCTCCAGGCTGATTCCCGTGGACAAGTGTCAGAACACGCTGCGGCAGCATTCCGTCCAAACTCTCAAGACTGAACACAAGGTCTGTCATTCCAGACCAGACCCTTGCCCATCAGTGGCCCATACTCGCTGCTTCAGTGAAAAACAGAACAAACTAAATCCCCCAGTCAAGCTGTGCAATGCAACAGATAGCGGGACTCCCTCCTGACCCGTATGGACAATACCATGCTGGGAGAAGTTGCAAATGCTTTGGATGATAGGATTAAAATTCAGAATCATCTGCAGAAATGGTCTGAAGTAAGTAGGATGAAATTCAATAAGGACAAATGCAAAGTACTCCACTTAGGAAGGAACAAATCAGTTACACACATACAAAAAGGGAAATGACTGAGTACTGCAGATATGAGTCAACAGTGTAACACTGTTGCAAAAAAAGCAAACATCAAATTCTGGGCTGTATTAGCAGGAGTGTTTTAAGCAAAACACAAGTAGTAATTCTTCTGCTCTACTCCGTGCTGATTAGGCCTCAAATGGAGTATTGCATCTAGTTCAGAATGTCACATTTCAGGAAAGATGTGGACAAATTGGAGAAAGGCCAGAGAGGAGCAACAAAAATTATTAAAGGTCTAGAAAACATGACCTATGAGGGAAGATTGAAACAATTAGATTTGTTTAGTCCTGAGAAGAGAAGACTGAGAGGGGACATGATAACAGTTTTCAAGTACATAAAAGGTTGTTACAAGGAGATGGGAGAATAATTGTTCTCCTTAACCTCTGAGGATAGGACAAAAAGCAATGGGCTTAAATTGCAGCAAGGGAAGTTTAGGTTGGACATTAGGAAAAACTTCCTAACTGTCAGGGTGGCTAAACACTGGCATAAATTCCCTGGGAGTTTTTGGAATCTCCATCATTGGAGATTTTTAAGAGCAGGTTGGACAAACACCTGCCAGGGAGGATCTAGATAATACTTAGGCCTGCCATGAGTGCAGGGGACTGGACTAGATGACCTCTCAAGGTCCCTTCCAGTTCATACGCTCAGGCATGAGATTTGATTACGCATCACTCAGCATGTATGATTACAATGCTATCAGTGGCCATGAAATGATCCTGCCCCTTTTCAAATCCATTTGACTTAAATCCATGTGACTTGCGGCAGTAAATTCCACAGACTGATGGCACCCTGCATGAAACAGCAATTCCTCCAATAGCTCCTAACTTTAGAGAAGAGCTGATAACGTTGCTGCAGCTCTGGGGAAGCAGTGTGGCCTAGCACACTGAGCGGGGGATTCTCCAGTCACATTTCTTGCACCCACAATGTGCTTTGGGTGCCTATCCCTTAAATTAAAAGCCACTCAAAATAACACAAAAGGATTGTCCATAAACAGTGGCTCCGGCACACACCCTGCCCGCTGCCTAGAGCTAATGAAAACCAAAAGGGGGGAATTGCAGAAGATGGACACTTTGTCTTATGTTTTATTTAACTTCTGATTGTTTTGATCCATTCTGTAGTTAGTGGGAAAATGGAAGGTGGGGGGAAGAAGGGGAAATTTGCAAAAAAAATGGTGGGGAAAAGCGTTCCCCTTTTCCCACCAAAATTCAAAATTTTGGACCAATTTTTTCATAGAAATTTCAAAATTCCAAAAATTTTGGCCAGCTCATTCCAAGACTGTGAACCTCAAGTTGTCTTTTCTGGTAAGTGGGGATAACAACATTAGCCTGCTTTGGGAAGCTTTTCGGGATGTACAGGTGAAGCAAGGGAGGAGTAAAGAGTTGTATCTGGCAACGGGTTACAGTTGTTAGAATCAGAAGGGACCATTATATAGTCTAACTTCCTGCATAAAATGGGCCAGAGAACCTCACCTCGTAACTTCTACATTAAGCCTTCAACTTTTGTTTGAGCTAGAGCCTAGTGTTAAAAAAAATATCTAGTCTTGCTTTAAAGACTTCAAGTGATGGAGAATCCACCACAACCTGTGGTAACTTGTGCCAATGGTTAATTTAACCTCACCGTTGACATTGTGCGTGTTTTTTCACTCAGATTTTTCTCACTTCAGCTTCCAGCCATTGGGTCTCATCCATCCTTTTTCTGCTGGATTAAAGAGCCATCTACTCTCAGAAATCTCTTCCCCGTCTAGCAGCAAAGTGCCTGTAGACCATGACCAAGTCACCTGTTTGCCTTCTCTTGGATAAACTAAACAGACTGAGCTTCATTAGCGTCTCACCACAAAGGCATGTTTTTGAGACTTCGAATCATTCTTGTAGTTCTTTTTTTTTTGAGCCCTCTCCAATTTAAGCAAAGGCAATTTAGGAAGGCATTAGCATGAGGAACCATATAAGTAGCTCATGTGAATTTTAGGGACTTTTAAATAAACTACTACCACCAGCTAACACTTATGCACAAGTCTTTTCAGAACCAAGACTATTGGGCTGCATGATGTTCCTTTACTGCTGGGAAGAGAATCATCTTTCCCTGCTGTGATGCATGATTCATATTCAACCCTTAAAGACATGTGGGGACATAATGTTTGTGTATTTACATATATATGCGTAATGGTCAACAATGTAATCAACAGTCCCTGTTTATGCTGTATTCTGATAATTCAGGGATCAAAAGAACATCCTAGCATTTAAATGAATTGTAAACACCAGATATCACTGTGTTCACCTCACTTTGAAATATACAGCAAATAATCTGTGAATGGTGGAGGAACAAGCAAATCGCCTTATGTTAATTTGTATAGCTAAGTACCGGTGATGGACCCTCCTTCAAAGTCATCCTAATTACCTATTGTTCCCCAAGGGACTGCAACGTGTCAAAGAAGGCTTGAAATTGTATAAAAGATCTTTGGATCCTGATCCTGTTCATCTCAGATCTGCTTGATGCTTCATCAGGGAAAGCTTAAACCACCAGTTTGGGATCCTAGTGCTGACTGGTCCGCCCTGAATATGATATTGGACTATGAACTATTTCTAAAAACTCTTTGCAACGACAAAGCTCACCATCTCTGCTATGTATCTGAACCTCAAGAATTAAACTCATGTCTGTACGTATATTGATCTTTTAACCATATTCTTGCTCTTTTCTTTTTTTAATAAATTTTAGTTTAGTTAATAAGAATGGGCTGGGAGCGTGTATTTGGGTAAGATGTGGAATATTCAGTAACCGGGGAGGTAATGTGTCTGATCCTTTGGGATTGGTCAAACCTTTTCTTTTATGTGATGAAATAAGATTTTCAGAAATCTTCATCATATTTGACTTGGGTACCTGGATGGAGGCCTGAGGCTGGGTACTTTAAGGGAACTGTGTTATTGACTTCTGAATAATTAGTGTGCTAATAAAGAAGCTGTTTTATGCTGGCTTGATGAATTTAAGTATTGAATTATCCACTAATTTTGGGGTTTGTCTGCCCCATTCTTTGCAGTTCACCCTAATTGAGTGACCTCAGCTGGCCCCCACTGAGACCCTGGTCACACCTGCTATGTAATTAATGGTGAAATATTTTGGGCTGGGTTCTACAGGAGGTCAGACTAGATGATCACAATGGTCCCTTTTGACCTTAGTATCTAGGAATCCGTGACTCAGGTATGCAGCTTTAGGAAACAGTTTCTGTTTTTACCTCCTAGGCCTTGACCGCAGAGAGCTGACTTCATTCCCAAGAATATAGTACTTCCGTGCTTCGTGCAGTAAAGGGATGCACTCCTTGGAGTCCTGGATGAGCTCGTCCATTTCAACCTGTTCCAGGAAGTACATGGGATCCAGCAGAGGGAGGCGCACGTGCTCGAGGAGATCCTTCAAAGCCCCTTTCCTGGTGGCAACATCATGCCGTACCCACCGCATCACCGCTTCGAAGACCACTTCCTCCTTGGGGACTACCAGCTGCTCATCTGACAGATATTTGACGAGCTCCTTCGCGCTCAGCTCCAGGAACTCCTCATGACATGACACCTCCACGAAGCCTTCTAGCATAAACCTCTTGCTCTTCTCAGCCAGGGAGGCGATGGAGAATGAGTCGGCAAACTTCAGGATGCCCAAGCAGTTGCACGGGTGAAGCTGGCCTTCAAGGAAGGTGACGCACGCATCTGTGAGCTTGGAGATCTGAAGCAAGTCAGATAGCTCTAAGATGTCTTCAACATTGTCTTCCTGAATGACTATGTTTCCCCCATACATATAGTCCAGGAGGAGGCTCATGGTGGAGGCAGAGATCTTCTGGATGTTGATGATATCTTGGTGGCCTTCCTTGAGGCTACCACCGAACATGGCCCGGAAGTAGGTGCTGTTGGCTGACAAGGTGGCCCGATGGCAGGGGAACTCCTGCCCATCGATCAAGAGCACCACATCCGTGAAGATGCCGCTCTGCCGGTAGGAGTTCAGAGTCCGGAGGATTTGCTCAGCATGGCAGGACCCACTGCAGAGTTTCATGTGCAGCTTTTCTTTGCTCTGCTCTCGAGTTGCATTTTCAAGGCTGCTTGTTCTGTAACTGGATTCTTCTTTTATCATCTGATGCATCCTGATTTCAGGGCAAGGATGGAGGGGAAAGAGCAAGGAACACAATGAAATAGTTGTCAAATTACTGGCAACTAACATCAGCTCGTAAGTATTGGCTAAAATTGCTCTCAAGTTAAAAGATTTTGTTGCATGCACTCACCCTAACATTGCAACAAACCTTCAGTTCCCTAGGACTTTCTGGTTGTACACATGGTCATAAAGAACTTCACAGCAACATCAGGAATTAAGGCCCTGATTCAGCAAAGCACGTAGCCACATACTTAGGTTTAAGCACATGCTTAACTCCCACCGAATCACCAGGATGTGCGCATGTGCTTTAGTCCTTTAATGAGCCATGGCCAAAATTCAGATCGTCTTACTCTCAAACCACAGACCTCTATGCTTGTGCGGAAAGGAAATCTCTTACCTGTAGCTCAGAGATCAGCTGAGCATGCAACAGAAGGCAATGGCACATGCATGAAGAGATCTTGTCTTTGCCTGCTCTGGTTCAGTTCCCTGATTCCACCAGCCATGGGCAACCCAAGCACTGTTCTCTAGGCCTACACAGGACCCACTGTCACTCACCAGTTAGAGACAGACACACCCTAACCCTGGAGCCCTCAGAGCATCTCCCTGGAGCATCCAGCCCCTGGGTCCACTCGACACTCACATTGTTCACAGAGTTGCTGCTCCCAAAGGAGCAAGACACCCCAGCTTACCAGTTCCACCTGAGATCACTGCTCCTCTCAACTCACAGCACTTGTTTATAGTGAAAACAAACAGAAGCAAAGAATAGACTGGGGTGATTGCCCAAGTGGAAGTATTGAAAACAAATGGTTACGTGTAAAATAAAATCATCACACATTCTGGATCCTAGATTTAATCAACAAGATACTCTTGTGTCTGATAGGGCAACGCTCACCCAAAGTCCTTGCAGCAATATAAAGCCAGGCTGGCTGTGACACTTCCTTCATGAGACAAACACGCTGTCAATTTGCCTTCTTGATGGAGGATCCAAGGTGTCTCCTGGAACCTCTAAATAGATCAGATTTTTTAGACAAAGGAAATGTAGTGGATCTAATTTACCTAGATTTCAGTAAGGCGTTTGATACCGTGCCACATGGGGAATTATTAGTTAAATTGGAAAAGATGGGGATCAAAATGAAAATTGAAAGGTGGATACGGAATTGGTTAACAGGGAGACTACAGCAGGTCCTACTGAAAGGTGAACTGTCAGGCTGGAGGGAGGTTACCAGTGGAGTTCCTCTGGGATCGATTTTGGGACCAATCTTATTATTGTTCACCTCGGCACAAAAAGTGGAAGTGTGCTAATAAAGTTTGCGGATGATACAAAGCTGGGAGGTATTGTCAATTTAGAGAAGGACCGGCATATCATACAGGAAGATTTGGATGACCTTGTGAACTGGAGTAATAGTAATAGGATGAAATTTAATAGTGAGAAGCGTAAGGTCATGCATTTAGGGATTAATAACAAGAATTTTAGTTATAAACTGGGGGCGCATCAATTAGAAGTAATGGAGGAGGAGAAGGACCTTGGAGTATTGGTTGATCACAGGATGACTATGAGCCGCCAATGTGATGTGGCCGTGAAAAAAGCTAATGCGGTCTTGGGATGCATCAGGCGAGGTATTTCCAGTAGAGATAAGGAGGTGTTAGTACCGTTATACAAGGCACTGGTGAGACCTCACCTGGGTGCGCAGTTCTGGTCTCCCATGTTTAAGAAGGATGAATTCAAACTGGAACAGGTACAGAGAAGGGCTACTAGGATGATCTGAGGAATGGAAAACCTGTCTTATGAAAGGAGACTCAAGGAGCTTGGCTTGTTTAGCCTAACTAAAAGAAAGTTGAGGGGAGATATGATTGCTCTCTATAAATATATCAGAGGGATAAATACTGGAGAGGGAGAGGAATTATTTAAGCTCATTACCAATGTGGACACAAGAACAAATGGATATTAACTGGTCATTGGGAAGTTTAAACTTGAAATTAGACGAAGGTTTCTAACCATCAGAAGAGTGAACTTTTGGAATAGCCTTCCAAGGGAATCAGGAGGCAAAAGACCTATCTGGCTTTAAGATTAAACTCAATAAGTTTATGGAGGAGATGGTAAGATGGGATAACATGATTTTAGTAATTAATTGATCATTAAATATTCATGGTAAATAGGCCCAATGGCCTGTGATGGGAAATTAGATGGGGTGGGATCTGAGTTACTACAGAAAATTCTTTCCTGGGTATCTGGCTTGTGAGTCTTGCCCATATGCTCAGGGTTTAGCTGATCACCATATTTGGGGTCGGGAAGGAATTTTCCTCCAGGGCAGATTGGAAGAGGCCCTGGAGGTTTTTCGCCTTCCTCTGTAGCATGGGGCATGGGTCACTTGCTGGAGGATTCTCTGCTCCTTGAAGTCTTTAAACCACGATTTGAGGACTTCAATAGCTCAGACATCGGTAAGAGGTTTTTCGCAAGAGTGGGTGGGTGAGATTCTGTGGCCTGCGTTGTGCAGGAGGTTGGACGAGATGATCATAATGGTCCCTTCTGACCTTAGTATCTATGAAATCAGAACAAGACTTTGTTTTGGTTCATAAACAAGACACTGCCCTGCTGACAGTTTCTTCTTGTAGATTTCGTACTCAGCAACTGGTTCAGTATGTAAATAGGCCTCCAGCGCGAGGCATACAATAAACAATACACAAGCGGCCAGACACAGAGCTAGGTGGTCTTACCTCCTGCCTCAAAGAAACATTCCTGAGGAATGTCACGTCCTGGTGGCCTGCTTTAATCCCAGGACCTTAACAGAATTTCCAGTATAGATACATAACTCCTTCAATACTATCCGTACGTACATTTTGCAATGATTAGGACACCCAGAGGGCTACTGGCTCAGAGACATCATATGCCACGCTTTGACGAATTACTGTGCATACGTGTGACCCAGGGGACCCACATAAAACCCTACGCAACCCATGTGTCCTCTGCCAGTTGGCACCAGGGCGTCTCCAGGTCACATATACACCTTGTGATTCGATTAAATGAAATATGTTGAAAACTATCCCAAGCTAACAGCATGTTGAGGAAGGGCCCCCTATACGTTGTCAACCTCATTAGGTGGGTCTTCAGTGCCTCAGCCCTGCAGCCAAGTCATGCAGCCAAAATGGATGAACCCCTTCTGGGTAGCAAAAGTCCAGCAAGCTACCTGCGCTCACCAGGGTCTTGAGCCGCATTTCTGGGCCCTTTAAATTCCACCTTTCACTCAGACTTCTAAGCAAGCCTTGTTCCATTCCGGGAGCCCAGGTCACTTCCCCAGGGGCCACACTGGGGAATCCGGGCCACACACTACTCCGGGTCCCAACCCAGCCACGTACTGTTGCCTCCAGTTTGCTACTGCTTTTCCCTGGGCCTTTTCCCACCTAGCCCCCTGACTTTCACCCATTACTTTAGGGTCACAGTTCTCAGGTCCTCTCCCCCCAGATCCAGCTTGTTGAGCTCCTTTGGTGAGAGCAGAGTCCCTTTCCTTATTCCTCTTGCCCTAGCCAGGAACTGACCAACTTAGGTCCTGCAGCTCCTTTTATCTGAACCTGCTGGGCTCCGATTGGCTGCTTCCATAAGGTCTCTCTAGGAAGACCCAGAGGACCCACCTTCACTGCTCCTTTCCATGGGTGGGGTTTGGTAGGACCACAGGGTCTCCAGAAGAGGGCCTCAAGGGTCTTGGTCCACCCAGTCACAGGTACAAACAAGGAATAATTTTGTAACCCCCAGCTATAAACATGTAGATAATTGAAAGGAAAATTACTGTCTATTCATGGTGCTTATATGGCCCCACATCACAGTACCTGAGCACCTCACAATCTTTAGTGTATTTATCCTCACAACACCCCTGGGGTTCATACAGGCCAGTAAGGGGGTTCGGTCACTGGCTGCCTGATAACCCTGGGTGTCTTGTGGCTCTGCAGCTTTGGTCCAGAGCTCTGGCCCCAACAGTTGGCTAGCAGCCCACAAGTCTTATGCTGGCTTTCCCAACCTGGGTTCCCAACCTGGGTACCCTTCCAGCCCTGAATTCTCCCCAAAATCCAGCCCCTCTCGCCAGACCCACCCAGAGAAAGGGTTTGGTTTACTGCCTTTACAAAGACAGGCAGCCACTCCAACCTGCCAGCTTTCTAGACGTGCACACTGTACTGATGATTTATAATGAAAACAAAACAAGTTCATTAACCGTGGATTAAGTGATGCCAAGTTAAAGAGCAAAAGGTAGAGATGGTTAAAAGCAAATAGAAGTGAAAACATGCATCTAAAAGCCAAATTTAATCTTACATAATACAGTCTTTATTCAAGATGATTTCTCTCACTCATAGTCTCCTTGCCAGGCTTTTACTTGTCAGGACTCATCACAGAGATCAAATGGATTGGTTTCTTTGTTTTCTCAGGTGAAGTAAAAGATGGAGTATCTCTGTCCTGATATCTCCAAAGGGATGTTTTTGGCCCAGTCTACACTAGGCGATGAATGAGGTCAGTACAGCTACGTTGGCTCAAGGGTGTGAAAAATCCACACCCCTGAGCAATGGAGGTAAGACTACCTAATCCCCGATGTAGGCAGTGCTAGGTCAACAGGAGAATTCTCCTGTCAACCTAGCTACCACACCTGGGGGAGGTGGATTATCCACGTTGGCAGGAGAACCCCTCCTGTTGGCGTAGGTAGCACCTTCACTGAAGCACTGCAGTCTCCTGTGTCTCTCTGGGGTGCAGGGGTCATGTTAAATTCTCTGGCTCTTGAGTTCAGAACAGGATACCCTCTCTGCCCCCCCCCCCCCACTGGTTTAGCTCAATGGCTTTGTTTACTGCCAATATTTAAATGGAGGTAACCCACATTCCTTGGTCTAAGACACACCCATTTATCACTTTTCCCTAAGCAAGGGTGTCTGGCCTTCAACATGTTTTAGTAGCATCATACACAGAGAATTCATGACCTCACACAACGGTAACATAGGTGTTTTACAATGATATTCATAACCACTGAGTTATTAGCGTTCACAGGACACCTCACAAGGCCTATTTTGTAGAAAGATTCTGGCAGTAGCGTGTAGGGTGGGAATACAGAAGGGCTTAGGCTCACGGCATGACCGCATGCCTTCAGCGGAGATACACCGGGGGATGAACTTGGCTCATTATGCAGCAAAGAGGAGCTACTAGGATTACAGAGGGAGATTTAAAAAAAAAAATCCTTCCCAGTAATTTCTAAGACATATACATCTGGAACCACGGACCAGATTCAATGTCTTCCAACATCCCTCCTGAAATCCCATTTCCATGGTCACTTCTCTTGGCCTGTCTGCTGAGATTAGCCACAGAGGTACCAATGGTGGTAGGGTTTTGGGGATAACACGAGGAAATGGATTGAGATCCCTAGACTCATTTTTGATGGGGAGCTGACCAGCCACGCCCAGCTTCTCTTCTGTCCATCTCACACACACGCAGAACACCGTGACCCCCACCCACAATCGTCCATTTTCCAGGCAGCTCCCATTTTCCCTCCATCGATCCTTTATTCTTCTTTCCATAAATGCAGACGTACCTGTCGGCACAAAGCCCCTGGGAAAGCTAGACCGGAGATGGCATTGGTGAAAGACACCAGTGGGACCAGATCTTCAACTGGTGTAAATCAGCGTAGCCCCACTGAAGTCAATGCAACTGCACCCACATCACAGGACTGGTCCTCAACTGGTGTATCTGCAGGCAGCAGTGCAAGGGGACCGAGAAGGCCCACTCTTCCATAGTTAAGAGAGATCTTCCTACCCAAACGGCAAGAGGCTTACAGGTAAGAGCAATAAAGATGGAGATCATGTTTAATGCCCCCTTTCCTCTTAAAGGGAAGTAACCGGGGTGCGCAAATTCAGGGCTTGTTCTCTTTTGTCATCCTCTTCTTGCATGTTTCATTAGCCTCCCATTGCCTTTGATGGCTTCTTTTCTGACAGGGCAAGCGTAAGCCGCAGCCTGAGCAGCGCTAATTGCAGTTCTGCTCTCTGGTTTCCCATTGTTCTGGCTCGCATTAGGAATAACCCAACCTTCTTGCCCTCTCGTGAGCCCACAGACTATTTGCTAATGCCAAGCACCTGGCCCTGACGAGGCAATTCAGAAACCACTTTATCCTCCAATAGCTCTATCCACCCTCCCCACCCAGGGCCCCTTAAATTGGGCTCTTTGGTGCTGCAGGTCCGGTTTCGAAACATGGGGACCGTAACAGGGCACTCAAATCCCTTGGCTGGATGCTCTGCTCTGCACTTCAAAGGCCATTTGGGCACCTAATTACTGATACAAATGTCCAAGATGGGAATTCAATGCCCTATTCAGACACCCACATTTGAAATCAGGGCTCGACTAGCTGGAAAGACGACTGTCAGCATGTGGCCTAAGAGATGGGCCAGAAGCAATCCCCCAGGCCCAAACCTTCCCACAGGGGTTAACTGCGTAGCTCAGGCCTAGCTTTGCTACGTGGCTTTATACCAGATCACACCCACCAGCACACGGACCCCACAGGGCTCAAACCTGGGACCTCAGCACCAAAAAGCACTTGAGCTTAAGTAGTAACTCCATCAGCAGCTCTTTGCTGTGCTGGAACCAGCTACTACAGGAAGATGTGACCAGATGCACCATGCTATTATTATTTAGCGCTCATCTGTAGATCTCAAAGTCCTTTACAGAGGAGATTGGTATTATCCCCATTTTACAGAAGGGAAAACTGAGGCACAGAGAAAGGAGGCGACTTTCCCAAGGTCACCCATCAGGCCAATGTGGCAGAGCAGGAAATAGAACCCAGGTTTCCGGAGCAACAGTCCCGCGCTCTAACCACTAAACTGCCTTCCTTGCTAGTTGTATTAGTTTGTTGCCCAGGGGATGATAACGGGGCTAAAGAGCTCTCACACTATTATATTGTACTGTTGAAACTAACAATGATGAAAACTATGGCTTAAGACCTGGTCTCTACCAGAAAGTTAGCTTGGGATAACTACACCACTCAGGGGTATGAAAAATCCACACCCTGAGCGGTATAGTTCAGCTGACTTAAGTTCCCATGAAGACAGCACTAGGTTGATGGAAGAATTCTTCTATCAACCTAGCTACCACCTCTTTGGGAGATGGATGACCTAAACCAACAGGAGAATTCTTCCAGTTGGCATAGGCAGTGTCGACACTTGACACGCTACAGCCGTGCAGCTCTGCCGCTGTAGGAAGTTAAGTGCAGACGATGCCTAAGGGGAGGGGAGGGCAGTGATCTAAATAAATAACTATAGTCAGTTTCTAAATTATGATTCAGGTCTTTAATCCAGCATTTACTCAATTTAATCTGAATTCAGATCTGCCTCAAGTCTCACTTCTTTGGGACCAGAAATGGCCCAAGGCAGAACTGCCTAAATTCTCCATCACTTGGAGATTATATTATTACAAAACACACACACGGTGCCTTTCTAAAAGATAGCTTCCTTCAACCACAAGTTGTTGGTTAAGTTCTATGGCCTGTGTGATATAGGAAGTCAGACCCAATGACCATATTGGACCCTTCTGATTTTAAAAATCTATGATGGGAAACAAAATTAAGGAAAATGGTTGTGTGTGACTTTTAATCGTCAGATCTTTTTTTTCCCCCCAACAAAAGATGCCTGCTGAACTTGGGGTAGACTCATTTTTAAAAAATCGGAGCGTTCATAATTTAGTGTTTTAGAATTTATGGATTTAATTCTTTTGGATAATTCCATTGTGGCCAGAAGCTGAGCAATCAAAATTGGCAACCAGGGGAAAAAACAGAAAAAAAATGAAAACTGAAAGAATGAGTGAACAAAGTCTTAACTGAAAATCCAAATAATTTGGCAAAAAAATAAAAAAAATCCCATATTAAAATAATTTTCACCAATTTTTTAAAAACAAAATTAACCATTTGGGAAAAGATGCCTTGGTTTTAGATTCATTTTCAAGGCCATTTTTGAAACCTCTCTTATGGATTTTGCAGTACAGGTGTCAGTGAAGCATGGAAAAAATCTCCTGTCATTTACGAAGCTTTTGCTCATTCAACTTGTAAAGCTTGACAGTTTTGTTCCCCTTTCCTATATAATCACTGGACTATTCTGTGCTCACTGGTACAAAGTGGCCTGATTTCACTTTCTTTTACAACAGTGTAGATCAGCAGTAGGGTATCATATAGGGAGGAAGGATGATCTAGTGTTTAGGGGACTGGACTGGGACTTGAGAGACCTGAGTTAAATTCCCATCTCTGGCACCCCGGGTGACTTTGGACCACTCAGTTTCTGTAGAGTTGGGAGAATGGCACTTCCCTGCCTCACAGGGTATCGTGGCGGTAAAATCCATGAATGACTGTGAGATGCTTTGATGCTGAGAGCTCGAAAAAACAGAACCATCAGTTGAGTTACGCAGGCATAAGCGAGCCCCGGAATGTCACTAAGAAAAGAGTCCTTTCGTTATGCATCTCAAAGAAAATGAAATTGATTTCGACTGAGGTAATTCATCTGAGTTAAACAAAGAAAACCCTGAAAGCCACCTGCACAGAGCGCGCCTTGGAGCTGTGACACACACGAGCACCAGGACTTTGTATAGCAGGGCATCACACTGTACAACGAACAGCACAGGTGTGTGGCTGAGGATCGGACAACCCTTGCCCCCTCCCAGCCCTGATCTCCAAGTGCCAAGCTAGTGGTGTGAGTGTACAACCCTCCACATTAACCTGGCTCAGCGGGGCTCCTGACAGCTAGCACAAAGAGAACCCCTGGGTGTCAAGCCAAACCTCTCGCTTCCCGGTCCACCCCCTTTACTTAATGTGCATGAATCACAGGGCAAAGAGGCCACTGGTCTCTGCCAGTTGTCACTGCTGCCATCCCCTCCCTGCACAGCCCGCATGGCAGGTGCCCAAGTGGCTGACTGTCAGAGATCCCTTTTGTTCAGGAAGAAGGGGTCCCTCATCCGCAAGGCAAGTACTTACCTGGACCACAGCTAGGGCCAGTGAAGCTACAACTGTGCCTCCCTCACAGGGCTGCAGGAGGCATTGAGGAGAGGTGGAGAGATCAGCCCTTCTGAGGCTGCTGGGGAAAAGCACAAAAGCTCACACAGGGAGAAAGGGGGAGTAATCCGCTTTTGTTCCTCCACTCCTGCCTGACGGGCTTGCAGGCAGCAGGGCATTCGCTGCAGCTGTCAATCGCAGCCCTTCAGGGAGGAGTCCCAGTGTCAGAAATCAGCAGACAGGAAAGGAGGGAGGGGCAAGAAAAGTCACAGCTCAGAAAAATGTTACACCGGGGGCAGCTTATGAGAGAGGAGCCATCTGGAGAGTAAACCGGGGTCCCGGTGGAACATTCATTTGATAGAGTCTCTGTGTCTCTCTGAAAACCACACTAAGCAGTTAAATAAACTCGCCCAGAGAGCCGAGACCACAGGGCAAAGGCCTCCAACAGCTATAAACTGAGGATGAGGAAGGCAGCTCTGCTCAGTGGCATGGGAACCATTTTTATAGTGGGGGTGCTGAGAGCCACTGACCCAAACTGTAAACCCTGGATAGGATGGAAACCACTTCAAACCAGAGGGTGCAGCCACACCCCAGCACCCCCACCCTTGGCTCTGCTCATTCAAGTTGTATAATTAGATCCATAGACAAGAATAGGACAGAAGGGGAGTTAGCCCCACGTCAGCCCCAGTAAATCCTGATTGTCTGGTGAATTTCCAAATAGCCACGTTGAAGTTTAAAGGAGCCCTTTGCAACCTGGCATTTTCCTCTCGGACGTGCCCATTGTCCTAAAGAACCTTCTGAGCCTTGCAGCAGCATGCAGCCTGCTTGTGCTGTCTCTCTCTCTCTCTCACACACACACACCAGTTTGAACGGTACCTGTCATTCCACCTTAGAAATGGTCCTGACTGTTTCATGACATTTCACGTCTGTTTCGCATCAGAATTTCATTTCCACCCCGGCTCCATTCTGCTCAACGTACCAACTCCACGGCCATCAAGGCATGGTCCCCACGGCTTTCCAAGATTTGCATTCGATTCACTGGCAAACTGGAAACGCAGTGTTGTTTGCCTGATTCCCAAGGGTTGGTTCCCAAGATCCTCTGTCCCGAATGAGGCTACACCTCTATGCCACGCGGCTCAGCTTTTCCATCACATACTGTATGTAACACTCCCTACTCTATCCAGGCATACTGTGTGACATACATCAAATTCCACTGAACATGAGTCTGTAGGAAGTATTCCTATCTGATCCATCTGTCCATCCACTGGGGATAGTATAGCATCAATCAGCAGTGTCAGGGTATCGCATCGCTGTTCAGCCGTCAACGAAAGCGAAGATAAAAATCAACATGCCCAGCGTGGCCCTCTGCTTTGGGCCACGTGAGGACAGACCAGGCCTAGGCCTCAGGCAGGTGGGAGCTTTTGTTGAAAAATATCAATTTGCTGAAACCAAAACTGATCAAGAAACAGTGTCGGGTTCAAGGAATCTCCCCACTCCAACGAACATCAAGGAAAAAAAAATTGTGAAAAGATTTCAGTTCAAAATGACTTTTCATTTCAAAATTTAAGCTCATTAGACTTTAAAAAAAAAAAAAGCTTAAAGAAAAAGGCCAAATTCGGAGCATTTTAACTGACCCAAAAGTGAAAAAAGAGTTGTGTTTTGGTTCATAAACATTCAAAATTTTGACTTTTCATCCTGATTTAAAAACAGGAAAAAAATTAAAATTTGAAAGTAATCACGGGCAAGGAAACCCATCTCCCCACCCAGCTCTAGTGTGCAGATGCAAGAATCCCTTCACCCACCAATTAAATGTGGCCATTTCTGGGGTGACTAGAGCAGCTGTTTAGCAGTGCACCGCAACAGGAAGACAGTTTGTCTTCACCTCCTGTCCTACAGAATCCAGCTGAAACCACAGGGGGGAATCTTAGGTAGGTGGAACATAATTGGACAGTCTGAAGTTGTCCAGATTGCTGGCCAGACCCCTGCTCTTGCAAGCTCCTTTTTTGGCTTCTGGTTTCACAAAGGAGAGCCCTGAGCTCCCCAGCAACCGCAAGCAAGCAGAACCCTTCAGTCTCACCCTGTGGAGAGAATGACTACTTTACTGTAAAGACATGAGCATTTTGTAAGCAAGCTCAGAAAACACAACAGCATCACAGCAGCAGAGGAATACTGAATGTTTATTTCACAGAGGGATGGAGGGTTGATTTTGGTCTAGATATATTTTCATTGAAAACTCAGACTTTAAAAAAAATAAAGCAAATCTTTAGGGCAACAGTGGTCATAATCACTGTATAACCTGGGCTCATAGCAAAAATGTGTGTTGTGAATCAACTTTGGGGGTAGAAGGTGGGAGAGATAGCTCAGTGGTTTGAGCATTGGCCTGCTAAACCCAGGGTTGTGAGTTCAATCCTTGAGGGAGCCATTTAGGGATCTGGGGCAAAAATTGGGGATTGGTCCTGCTTTGAGCAGGGGGTTGCACTAGATGACCTCCTGAGGTCCCTTCCAACCCCATGATTGTATGAACTTTGTTTAGTCAACAGTGCCTTGTTGAGTTTCTTTTAACCCACCCAAACTTTAAAAAAAAAAGTGTCTGACCTTTCCACAAAGTCATCTCCAAGGATAAAACCCAAACACGCAGGTAACCATCAACAGATGCTGAGATGTAACAAAGTCTTTCAGTTGATATGACAATTAGCCAGGAATGTTTCAATACTGCACCACAATGGAAGGAAGAGCAACTTTATATAAGATCTTTCAGTTGTGCAGAAAGCCATCTTGTTTCACACAGACTTGATAGAGTACCATGAAAGAGGGTAGTGTATTGGGGGTGACACCCTGTGCCAGGTTCTGATGCCAGCTACACTGGTAAAAATCCAGTCAATTCAAATTATTTTAATAGCTGGACTTTGGATTTACAGTGGTGTAACCCTGATAAGAATCTAAAAGGGTAATAATTGAGCCACACCTTTATATAATATAAATATATTTAATTCCTTACCTGTGTTACATCTTTGATTATTAAAAACAAAAGATTCAAGGAGAATTTTTTCCTCCCACCACCTAGATACTGTTGACATTTTGCACTTCATTCAATTAGTTCAGTCAGTTTCACTTTCTGTTTCTAGTCAGTTTCACTTTCCAGTTCTTATGCACCAGACACAACACCTCTGGGTTTGGCTTTCTAACACTGCTGGGGAATGTTTACATTTTTAATCATTTTGCAAATAATTTCATGACAGTATTTCTATTCCGACTATGGTTTGGCAAACCCATTAACACACTCTACATCTGGCATCCGATACAACTTTACAGCAAACCCTAAACGGAGTTTGCTCTCTGTTTAGCAAAATAAATGCCATGGCTTCAGTTTCTTCAGGCAGGACTCTGCAAATAAATCCCATTTCACCTTAATTTTGATTGAAGAATCGCAGACTTGACTCAAATCCCTCATCAAGAGCCAAATTTCAGACTCAATTGATTTTCAAGGCAGCATTTGATGAACTTCAAAAGAAGTGATCAATGGTATTTCCCGTATTCCACATTTCTGTGTTAGCCAAGCTACAGTAAAGAAGCAAAACTAACAAATACCACATTAGGGATTGATCCAAAGCCTACTGAAGTCTATAGGAGTCTCTTCTCTGGCTGCAACAGACTTTAGAACAGGCAAAATAGTGAAAAAGCTAAATAGCCCAATACCTGACTCATCTCAGTGAGAGAAGGGGAAAACTACAGTCAAAAAGGGCAAGTGCCTGGGACTTTCATTTGTGGCCCAGCTGTGATGTGTGAAAAGAGTGGGAGGAGTGTGTGGGGGAGTGGGAGGAGGAGTTGACGGAGAAAATAAATATTGACATTTGGAAGAGGGGGGGAAATGCATCACTGATCCACTCAATTTCTGGGCTTTTTTATTATAATGTAGGATTTTGGTTTAAAGCCTCTTGCACTGGAAAAACGCGAACGGGAGCTCCTATTCTGTGCAAGCACCTCATATTCTGTCATTATTGCTCCTTTGGAGGAGATTAACGTGCAGTCTTTTACACAACAACAAAGAATTCAGGAGAAGGTCTCCCTTGTTCTCCGAGACTGCTTCACTTTGTGCTTTACGATTTACAATCCAGAATTCTTCACTACTTCTTCAAGCTTCAATTCGTCAAGCTGAGCTGCTTGACCTGTGACTGAGAAACACAGGCTTCCACGCCACTGCTGATTGTGGCTTCCCTTCCCCACCACCAGTTTAAGGGTTAACACAAACTACACCACCTGTTCTAAGTGGCGGGCACTTTAGCTGGATCTGGGTGATGAACAAGGTGTTGGGTCCTCTTTACTAGCCATCATGGAATCGAGACTCTTCATGGAGGCTGACTTATGAAATACAAACTAGGGGTCTATTTAAGGTCTTTACCAGCCCAGGAGCATCTAGAAGAAATTTCTTTGGGGAAGGACTGCAGCATAGGCCATAAAACTTGCCAAGGGTTTTGCTCTGAGCACTTTCTATCATATATTTCATACGATCCCTGCATGCTTCGGTCCTGCTATTCTGGGGGAAGGCGTGAAAGTGAGTCAGCCAACCTGATTCCTTCCGCTGATTCCGAACACGCTCTGGGAGCAGCACCTTCCCTCCTGCTAGGAAGCTCTGAACAGCCTTCCATCTGATTAGTTAAAACTTCATTAGCCAGAAAAAGAAATGATACGTCACAAGAACGTCACAACATATTTTTTAAACAAGTTCAGCTAACAATCGCTGCACCAAGGGGAAGAGTGGAGTGGAGGGGGAGGATCAGGTCCATGCCCCACCTGTCTCCCCCAGTGTCCAAGATGCCACCTCAATATTTCATCAGATTCAGCCAAAATGTTCCTGTTTCAATGCACAAGTTATTCCCACTCGTGCCCTGGAAGAAATACATACAACCCCCCAAAATACACAAAAGAGACAAAAAAAGGACTTTCTACATATTTACAAAAAGCTGCCCCAGCCTCACAGTCCAGAGTATGTCAGGAGCCAGCAACAAGAGCAATAGACGGGGTCTCTGCATGTCCGGTAGTTCCACAGAGTGTTCCCACATCCCAGACAGCGTGAATACCACCCATCGCAGACCTGAGTACTGCGGGGGGGAGGGCGTCGTGCCATGGGCCTTTAATTCCTCAGTCCATGCGTAGCTTCATGTCCCGACGATCCAAGGGGGCGATACC